AAAGCTCTTAATTTGTTCCTTTGCAAAATATCAGAAACAAGACAAAGGAGGCAGCCTGATAAGTCTCCTCTCCAGCCTTTCTCCTTTGTGTCCTCTGGGAAGGACACATGAGTTTCTAACTCTCCACACTAAGAACTGTCTCCTTGAGCAGGCTACAGCAGCTGTACTGGACTTCTTTGCCTAGAGCTTAGTGGCCCCAGTTCAGGCTTCTGGCAGCAAAGCTCACCTTGCAGAAATACTATAAGAGTTATAAATACTTTAGGTCTTTAGAGAGCTCTGTCAGTTCTCTGCTATGGCACTAGTGACCTAGGGCAAGGGAAACTTCTATTCCAAGGTATACTGTCAGTAAGCAAGGCTGCAAGGCATTCTAGCATCATAACCTGTCTCTTTAATGGCACGGTTTGGACCCTTAAAATATCCATTTGCTATTAAAAGCTAATTCCTACAAGCTAATTGTAGCCAACACCCCAGAAAACCACGCTGGATGCAGGTAATTCAAACCGAAGTCCATTCATCAGGTGAAGGGGCTAGGGAAACCTGACTTCAGAACAGGGAAAGGTTCTTAACCTCAGTTGCATAATTAAACTACCTGGTAAGCTTTTTTAAAATACTATATCAGGTGTAGTATTTTTTAGTAAGTCCTAATCACCCACAGAGATTTGGATTTAACTGGCCCATGTGGCTTAATGTCTGTGTTGTTTTTAAGCTCCTCAGGCAATTATCCTGCTCATTCAGGGCTCCAAATCCTGGACGGGTTTCTTCTACCTATTTTCTACCAGTCTCATTCAAAGCCTAAAATGCACTACTCCTTGGAAAAAAACTTTCCTCCCCATTAAAGGACTTTCCTCTGCATTTAAGTAAGAGCAACAGGATAAAGATGGCTGAATGTCAGATAACAGGATGTTGTCATTTGCAGTGTAGATGCTGCCAATTTATCTCAATTTATCCCAAATGAGTTTATGTTGAATGTATTGATTTATATGTCCTTAATCATGACACCTGAAGGAAGGGCTAATACTAATAACATAACTGATAGTGGAGAGGCTGAAAGAGAAAAAAAGTCTTTATTTTCAGTATTCAAGGACTTTTCTCTACAATAGGGAGCAAGAATAAAATTAATTAGCATCCAGTACAGTAGTAACACACATTAAATATTAAAAGAAATAAGCAAGCATGAATCTCAGACATCAGCAATGATGAGAATTTGGGACAGAGTTCCCTGCTGGCTTGAGTGGACAGGAAAAGCTTTGTGGAGGAGGCACAGTTCTAGCTGGGCCTGGTAGGACCAATAGAATGTGAATTGGGAAAGCGAAGAACAAAAAATAAAAATCACCCAATAACATAATTGCAATAGCCATTTACGGCACTCCAGGTACTCTCATTTCAAGCATCCTTTCCTTTAAACCTCACAACCACCTTACGATCCTCATTTTACAGATGAGAAAATGGGAGATTAGAGAGCTTTAAAACATTGCCCAAGTTCACAGTCAGCAAGCAGGATTCAAACCCACGTAACCTGACTTCAGAATCCAGGTAGGCAGGCCAAGGCAGAAAGACAGAAAGGAATCCCCCAGTTGTGTGATGTTGTGCAAAGATTCCAGCCTCCTAAGAAGGTTGGGTTCTCGTCACCAAAAGCCCAGAAGAGAAGAGAAAACTGCCTAAGTAGGACAAGGTCGGATCATTCGCACAGCTCCACCCAGATATTAAGCCAACTGCAGCAAGGAGAGCTGAATCAAAAGTGAACCAAAAACGGATTTCCTTTTTTAGAAACACAAGATGATAAAAGCATCAAATAGGTGAGCATGACTAGGGAAGCACAGGTCCGGAGGTTCCCAAGGGGTGAAGTTTCACCAGAGGCTGTGAAAATGCTGAGAGCTGAGACTGGAAAAGAGTCACTAGGCATGAGTCTATGTTCTACTCATCAAGGACTCTCCAGGATGCTGTGAAGGGCGCAAGAGCTAGAAAAGGCAGAGGCTGAGTGGAGGACATTCACAGGAAGTCCACAGAGGCAGCACAGAATGTTGAGGCAAATAGCTGAGCCTGCCTGCCTGCCTTAGATGAATTACGTGTTTCAAAATGCCTAGTTGTAAAGTAGTCAAAAGGTACTAGGCACCCAGTGTACCTGGGAGCATGACCATGGAAGTGTCTGTGAAAGGCACACAAAATACGTAAATTCTGACTGCAAGGAATGCATACTTTTGTCAGACAGGAAACATACACACTGAAATAGAGCATGAATAGTTGTGATTTCCTCAAGTCATTGGAACCAAGTGACAGAAGCTGTGATGATTTTGGCTTTTCCCGATATTGCAATCCGAGAACAAGCAAAACACCAAGAAAGAAATAAAGGCAAAAAGAAGGAACGGAGAAAGAGAGGAAAGGAAGAAGGGAAAGAGGGAGAGAATGGAAAGCAGGAGAGAAGAAAGGGAGGGAGGGAGGAAGGGAGAACCAAATTCATATAAGAAATTCATTCAGAGCGATGTTAAAGTATGAACCATGTACCGTCTGCATCAGAGTCACCCTAGGTGCTTCATAACATGGCAGACCCCTAAAGCGGGGCTGGGGAATCTGAACTGTTACCAGTCCTCTCAGAGATGCTTAGGCACTCTGAAGTCAAAGAACCACTAGTCTGCACACTGCCTATGGCCAGTCCATGTGCTCAGACCCCTGCACCCGCTGCTACATCTCCAGCTACCAACCTTTACCTGGCAATCTCATGTTCAGAAGAGTTGTCCTGAGGTGAGACAAAGTCCCAAGTCATCAGATAAAGAGGAAATTATGTTCATAATTTGTCATGGGCTTTGCAGTGAGGCAGACTCCAATGGAAAGCCCAGTTCTGCTTCTTCCTAGCAGAGACTTTAGGGAAATCACTTAAACCCACTGAACATCAGGGTCCCCATCTGTAAAATCCTCACAGGATTGTTGGGAGGGTGATCAGGTAGGAACCATGGCTTTCTCTCAGCTGCCTTTTATTTGCTGACTTTTGAGATGAAACATATTAGTCAGCCACAGTCTCATGTGCCTGTAGCCCTAGCTACTTGGGAGGCCAAGCTAGGAGGACAGCTTGAGTCCAGGAGTTCAAGGCTTCAGTGTGTTGTAAGTGTAACTATGAATAGCCACTGCACTCCAACTTAGGCAACAGAGTGAAACCCATCTCTAAAAGAAAAAAAAAAAAGACTGGACATCTTAGAAAGATTCTTCAAATCCTTACCCTAGTAAGACATTAGATATAGAATGTCTCTCCTAGCCTCAACTAATGGAGAAAAAATGCCCTCAAGTGTTTCATCTATTTCATTTTATCCATTCCTCGAAACATTCTGCTGACATCAACAGCCTCCAGGCCTTTGCACATGCATGTCTTTCTTTATGAAATACACACACACACAATCTCTACACCCTGCTTATTCTATAAATCCATATTCATCCTTCAACTTCTTGCTCAAGCATCACTGCTATTTTAAAACTTCCCAGACACCACAGCCTGCCCCATCTCGCCCATTCCCACTGCAGTGACAGCTCCTAGAACCTGAACAAACTCCCCAAGTCTGATCTTGCTTCATTATGATGACTGATCTTCTGGTTTCTCCCCAACGACCACTGGTTCTCCAAAAAGCAATACTTTGTAACTCTAGCACTTACTATCATGCCTAGTGTCTAGCAAGTATACACAATGTATTGAGTTAATATATTCCACATGTAAAATATAAAATGATGACACTGATTTTTAAAACGGTATATAACTGACACTGTTGTTTTCAAACACAGGTTTAAGTCAGAGGGAAAAACAAATAATCACACTAGTTTGGTCTTTTTTTTAATCTGAATGAGAATTACTTGGCTTTATCCCCTACCTAATTCATTAGATTTGGCTCTGAACTGTAGAATCCACCTCATACGTGGAACATTTGCCACCATCAAGCATATTAAGAGGACTCTCTCTGACAATTCAAGTCAGTGCAATGAACACTAAGCTAAGTACCGAAATTCTACAAAAAGAACCCTTCCAAAAACACAGACTCCCTGATGGAACTAGAGCTCTCTTCCAAAGATGCTACCTTCTTGTCTGGCTGACAAGCTCTTCCCCAGACCATCACTTGGTGTGTCTGTTTTTACCTTAATTCTAACACAAAGAATAAAAGCCCCATGTCTACCCCTGGGTGCTACCCAAGCTTACCTTGCCCAAAGTGCCCCCTTTATGGATCACTGCCCATCTCCTTCCCCATCGATGCCTCAGTTTACCTTTACATTCAAGTCATTAATAGTCATTTCTCAAAATTCTACTCAATTAATAGCTACTATTTACTGGCAGCTCTATGTTTCAGATGCCCTATCAGGGGTTTTATAGACAATCTAGCATCTTAAATCCCAGAGAGCCTATGACCAAGTGTTATAAGTATCCTCATACAAGTAACTGAACAAGTGATGGAACCAGGTGTGACTCCAAAGCTCATGTTAATTGTGGAGGTATACATCTTCCATTAGCTCATTAAATATTCACTTAATACTATATGGATGTGGTGTTGTCTCATTTTACAGATGAGGAAACCAAAGCATAGCAAGGTCATAAGACTTCTCAGACTAGTTCCAAATTATTTAAGCCCTTCCAGTTACTCATATCTCCTTAAGTCTGTGCTGGTGACTATCTCACCAACATAGACAAAATTGCAGCCAACCAGGAAGAGGCCAGGCTGAGAGGTGAAGACAGATGGGCCCTCAAGACACAATCAAGCCTTACTAATATATCTATGGTCTTCTCAGTCACATGAGGAATTAAATTGCCATTTTTACTTTAGTTTGACTTGGCTATAGTCTGAGTATTTATGTTCAAATCCTAATCTTCCAGGTGATGGTATTAGGAGGTAGGACCTTTGGAGAGGTGATTAGGTCATGGGATAGAGCCCTCATTAATAGGATTAGTGCCCTTATAAAAAGAGGCCTGATCTGCCACGTGAAGACGCAACAAATAGGCGCCATCTATGAACCATAAAACAAGCTCTTACCGGACGGACACCAATCTGCCATCACCTTGATCCTGGACTTCCCAGCTTCTAGAACAGGAAGAAATAAATTTATGTTGTTTATAAGCCACCTGGCCTATGGTATTTTGTTATAGCAGCTTAGACTAAAATAACTACTTTTTAACTGTTGCTTACAACCCAAAGAGTCCTATTTAAAATAAAAATGAATACCTGCAAGGTGAAACCATAATGTGGATGACTTTTTAAAAACTCACATACCAAGATTTGTTCATCCAAATGACAGCAGTTCCTTTTGACGTAGTTATCTTAAGAAAGATGAAGTTGCAAATCAGTAGGCAACCAGAGGAAAAGCTATGAAAAAGATGCCCCCAAATAATGGTATTGATCAAGCAGTGGCCAGTACTTTGGAATGAATAATGTACGTGATTTTGCAAGCCTAGTTACTTCATGTTGTCATAGGAAGTACCTCAAGGGACAGAAGAAAATGTACTTGCTTCCACTCCTATTCAAACTACAGGCTCTTGATCTGTCAGTTAGTCTATTCTGAACATTGGTATAAAATTAATGAATAATCAGCTTCCTACCCCTGAACTAACAGTCTGAAGCTTGCAGATAAAGTACCAAATCTCAACAAATCAAATCTAAAGTCCCCAGATGTTTAGGTAAGTCATATGCCAGGGTCTACCTTTGGCCTCAGATTCTCCTGTTCCCAGCCTTGACTCAGCTGAGACTCAGTGACTTTTCTCCTGGGACAAGATCAATGGTTCAGCCAAGGCAACACATTTCTGTACCCAGTTTATGACCCATGGCCACTGCTGGTGTCTAGACTATTACACCAGTAGAATCGAGTCACAAGATCATGCTTACCACAAACTTTGAAATAGGAGAAAACTGAGGGTGGGGTGGGGGGAGGGGAACTCCCTTTAGAGCTGTGCTGTTTCTCTTCTTGTGAATAAAAGAATATTCATTATCATTACTCAATTACAGAAGGATCAGATTAGCACCAAGAAGAATTTCCTAAGTACAAGAAGAAAAGAAGAACCTGTGAAGTGAGAAGTCTCACAATGTACACCTGAGACTTTACCTCAGGCCTGACTGCGGCCTCCAACAGGAGAGCTGGGCAACTTGTCCTTTGCTTATTCTTCAGAGTTCTCTGGCATTGCTGAGTTTGGATTCAACACATTGTTGACCTCTCTTTCCCTACCTAACTGCACATGAGAAAGTGAAAACCTGGATTAACATATTACATGTTAATGAGCCCATGTAACACACATAAAGGTGGACCAGTTGCAGAGAGGCATTGAATCTAAAGAAAGAACAAGTTAGCCTTCAGAGATCTGAAGAGTCACTGAAATTGTTACTGCAATTTCTTTAAAAGGCACCAAGGGAGCCTTCCTTTCATAATAAAAATAAAACTTCTTCAAGACCCTCTTTCCCCATCCTCTTCCTACTCTCTCATGAGAACAGACGTGCCATGAATTTCATGTCTCACACTCCCCCAAACTCCCAAAAACTAGCTCTCAAATCTCAGCCTGCATTTGCTGTCATCCCCTTCCTGTTTCCCTTTCTGGAATATTCTTCTCTCCCTCCAGTACCTCTCTGCCCTAACCAATGTAGCTCAATCATTCAATCCTCCCTTCTCATTATCAGATACCACATAACAAAAGCAGCTGCCCATCCAAGAAACCTACTTTCTTTTAGAAGGCAGGAGGAATGGAAAGATTCTGAATGTGCATATGTTAATTTTTTTTGTCTTTGTCACATTTGCTCACCAAGATAAAGACTTAAATATATGGAAAAGAGGCTGAGATCTGAAGTCAGATGACCTGAATTGTCTCAGTCACTGCATGTGACTTTGGAGCAATTAAGCTTTTGGGCCTCTGTTCCTTTATGTATAAGATGAGGTCACAGTAATGCCATCTTCACAAGGGTATGGTGATGATTAAATGAGAAAACATGTTTTGTCATAGGAATAACAAACCATAAAGTGCTTTATGTCCATGATTTCTAATCCCGCTGACTTTAATTCTTTACATTGGTTAGAATATTATATATACATGATTCAAAGTCATTATAGAAAATTTAATCAGCTACTTGGAGATATACTTTGTTTGTTACGTTTGTCACTCTTCACAATGTTGACTAATCTTAAAGGTTGGTTACCTTTGCTTGTGCAGTGAGTCACCTGATTCTACCAACCCATTTTGGCATACTCCATAAATTGGAATCCAGAGTCTTTATGCCACCAGTTATAATTAAATTCCTAATTTGCAATTGCAGACTTCATGTAAAATGTTTAAACTCCAGGCTCCATATAATATTTATAAAATTTCTGACTATAGCACAAAAGGTGTTTCTGATGTGAGCCCCCCTTTTAAAAAGAGTCCCATCTAATTTCTTATTCTATAAATCAAGGCCCCTGCCACCTCCAAGTTTCTAATAAACAGCAGGCAAAGGCATCAGACACAGGTTAAAAGAGGACAGAAAATAAAGGGGTCTAAATTAGAAGGGAAAAGCATGTAGAACTCAAAACCAAAGAAACAAAGAATTAAGGAAAAGTACTAGAGTGATTACACAAAAATACCAAAACCATTCCTTCTAAAATAGAATATGAAAAAATTGTGAACACATGTGAATTTACTGATCTGCAGTGAAAATGATTCCAAATCAAACCCTTTAGATTCCATGTAGGAAGGTGTAATTGTGAATAAGTCAGAGATTGGGTAAAAGGGGATATAAAGAGAGAGAGGATGAAAGCACAAAGTAACATTCAATTTAACAGAGGGTAACACCCATAGCTAGGACCTTCTTAATCTTTAAGCTTCTCATCTGGGATATGGGTACCTATGGCCCAGGCATGGAAAAAAAAAAATCAGCCCCTGCAGCACCTGCTCAAGAAATGCAGCAGGTGGTGGGTATCTTTTCCTCCCCTCCCCCAGAATTGGCTGTGCTTCACCTTTTGATGAAGATGTGGCATTTACCTTGGTTCACAACTGCCTATTGGCTAACCAATCACTGAGCAGAGGGAAAAAGATGAATAAGAAAGGCTGTATATATATATATGCAATCTTTATTAAAGAAGACCAAGAGAAATGAAATTTGTTGTTTATTATCTGCCTGGTATAGGATCTAGCAAAGAGAGCAATTCAATAGTCCTTCTTCTTTTTTTTTTTCCCCCCAAAGGATCAATTTAGCCCTGCCTAAGCAAGGAAGAGGCGAAGAACTCTAACTGTTCACGTGCTCAAATTATAAACTTTAAACTTGACATTGAAACCCAAATAAACGTAATGCCATAAGACATTTTCCATTGATGCTTCCCTTGAGTTCCACTGTGTTTTGTTTAACAAGCAGCTTATCCGCATGTGGCTAGAGAATAACTCAAAGGCCAGAGAAGGCCAAAGAGACCCATGCAGGATAGAAGGCTCAGCCATGGAAACTCCACACTCTAGATTGAATTTCACAAGCAAGACAGACAGGCACCACCAAACTGGGTCCAGTGTCCTGACTACAGCTTCTAACTCCCTAATCTGGTTCTATCTATGAGTCAAGGGGAAAATCTAGAAATAGTATACAGTCGACAAACATAAAGATATTTCCAAGAGATCCAGGATTCCATTCCAAAGAAAAGCACCTTTTCCTTTTACTTAGCTATCTACCCACCTTCAAAGGCACATTCTTTTGTTGTTGTTGTTGTTCATTTACTTTCTTCAAAGGCACATTCTTAACATTGCCTCTGCAGAAGGTGACTACATTAAACGTTTCAAAAATAACCAGACTAGATGTTGAGATGCTCCAGAGAACTGCAGTTTTTCCCCAAATAAGAAAATGTAGCTCTTCAGAGCATATCTAAGGAATCAAATACCTGCTTAAACCTTTTGTAACAGACATTGACACTACTTAAAATGAACTTTTCTCAAACTTTAGCTATAAGTCTTTACCATCTAGCTGAGATGTCAGGGCACTAGAAAGTCTCCATCTAAAGATGTAATTAAGAAATAAATACCCAGAGTTTGCACAGTTTCTGACAGTGACACCAACTATCCATTGAATTGCTCTCATTGCGAAAACTATCCTTTCATTCAGTAAATAAATATTCAAGAAAACACCCTCATATAGAACACCCATGTGGCAAGCAAAGTGAGGAATAAAAAAAGTAGCTTAAAAATAGACCTTCTCTTCAAAAACTAAGACATATATAACCCTCCCCACCACCACCACCCCAAAAAATAAGGTAGAAAGCGTTAATTCCCCTAAGAGGGGTATAAAGTGCCACACACATGTGAGTTCAGAGAGGCTGAAATTATTTCTGATGGAAGGAGTCTGGAAAAACTTCACAGAGGAAAATAGTATTTGAGATGACCTTTGAAGGGTAGATAGGATTTGAACCTGAAAGATGAAAGGAAAGTGCATCCAGGTGGAAAGATTGTTCTAAGCAATCAATCTAAGGAAGCAAACTCAGGAAACAAAACATTTGTTTCAGTCTGGCTGGAGAATAGGCTGCAAGGCACAAAATTTGGGGAGGTGGGTGGAAAAATAAGCGAGAGCCATTTTATAGATGGCTTTCAATAAGAATTTGGAATTTATGCCATAAACAAGAGCCACTGAAGGTTTCTGAGCTGGGGAGCGGCGTGGTGAGGGCAAGGCTTCAGAAGGATTAATCAGGCAAGGCAGATTAGAGGAGACTGTGAGAAGAGTCAACAAGACCACTCAGGATAGAAATACCATGGTGTGGGTAAAAAGCAAAGAACTGTGCTGTCAGAGACGGCATGGAGAGGAGGAGGTAGATGAGAGAAACTTGGGGTCCACATGATTTGTTCATTGCTGGTCATGCGGAAGAAGGACATCAAAGATCATCCTGATGGATATTCTGGATGTCTGAGAAGATAATCATATTATCAACAGAAAAGTAACTCAGAAAGTGAAAATGCCTGTAGCAATCCCAAATGCTGATGTTTGGTCATCCACTGGAAACCTTGGCCTAGTGCCAGGAAGTCACAGAAATGTCTTTGGAAGACCAAAGCTATTGTTTGGTCTCAGTTATCTTATCTCTGTGATATTTGCCATTGTTG